AGAACTATCATGTACTTTGGCGAATGTTCTAGTTCTTACTAGATATAGGGTAGGCAGGTATATAAAAGAGGGGAATGTAATGTGTGTGTAGTCAGTGAGTAATTGATCTGCAGTCAGAAGTATTATTGAGCACGTTCATTGTTATAGCGGTTGTTTAGCGCAATTGTTGAAGTTGAGTGTATTGGTAAAGTTGTATTCGGAAAGAATAAACCAGTTTTTATTAAGTAAAGAACTTGTGTCGCTTAAGTTTCGTCGGAACGAAGTTACGGAAAATCAATTAACAAACGGAGACGTAACAATACATTACAAATTCAATGCAGATATTGTGTTGTGTCCTTTTAAACATACTTTAATAACTTAAATAGGGCCTACTTAGTATTTAAAATAACTATAAAAATCTATTCACTCATCCAGTGAGATAGAAAGGAAAAGAAAACACAAAATTTAGGATTTCATAAACTTATGCACAGAGAGAAGAAATAACACATTTTGGTAAACAATAAAATGGGAGTTTTTAATCTTAATATAAAACTCAATAAATTCACACACAAATCTTTAGTAAAAATTCTTAATCAAAATATCTGATTTTTTTTTTGCAAAGAAAGAAAGAAAGACAGAAAGAAAAAGACAAAGAAAACAAAGAAAGAGAGAAAGAAGGAAAAAGAAAGAAAGAAGATAAAAACAAAACATAAGACTGTTAACTTGCTGTTTATCACTACAAGAGTATGATTTGAAGATAATCTATGTCAAAGGGGTTGATAACATTTGTGCTGACGCACTTTCACATGTTATGTAATTTTATTATCATAAGATTATTTGTATTGTTTGTGTTATATAATGTCATGATTATTGAAGTTTTGTAATCCTTTGAATAATGTATCATATTTAATGTATTGTTGCCAATGTATATGTATATATATCTTAGTTAAAAATTGTCTAAAGCCAATTTTCAATTCTCTAAGGAGGGAGTTGTGACAGATTTATTATTATATATTTATTCTACTATTGATGTTTGTTTAGATTAAATTTATATTTAGAAACATACATAGCTTATAGTGTTAGATATGTATTGCGAAACTCCAACCTATTCTCCAAAGTTGTAGAAGATTCTTGAGAGTAAGAATCAACAATATATGTGAGTACATAAACAATTTAATTTGCATTATTATGTAAAACTGAAATTTCTAGAATGCCTCCATATGTTATAAATATAACCAACTTGATGAGCGGAAAAGACGTATCTATTATTGGTTTGCTATAGTTGGTGTGCTATAAACTTTGGAAGCCATAACTGTGATTGTTATAATGCTTATCAATCGGAAAACTTCAAATGTTTGACCAGGAGCATCTACAAAGTTCAAACATTACAAATCATTTAATTTCAGTGGATTAACATTGGACATTACTATTTTTACGAAAACATTATATAACTTCATTGTGAAAAACTCGGTGCGCGTGGCTGGTGAATAACAAAGGACAAAGCTAGCTAAGTGAATTATATCTACGTCAACTCGTAATTAACTCGCTCATCATGAACCCTTGATAAGATATCAAGGAAGTTCCAGAATAGAAAGAAGACTTTATATTGCTTGTAAGTTTGTAAAATTTTGTATATATAACATTGTTTGTAATAACTGTTATTGTAAATTGTATTGTTGTTTGTATATTAAAACATATTTGTGTTAAAAAAGAAAACTGTGTGTATCAATCTTGTTGGCAAATATCATAAACTGACTATATATTGGTTTTTACTTAACTACTAAATCCAAAGTACAATTGAACTACTAAATTTAAAGTATCATTTAACTCGGTTTCAGACAATTAGAAATTCTAATACAGACAAGCTCTTGTAGATTTAACAGCTTTTAGCATTTGGCTCTCCAGTTAAGGTGAATGTCTGTCATGCAAAATAAAATAAACCATTAAATTCAGAGTATTTGGAATAACTTCATAATAGGTTTCCTACTTGAATCTCCTATTATTCTGCAGACCTATCTTATCACTCTTGGTGGATATGAGTTTTACCTGAGAATAATGCAATCAAACCTACCAAATAGCTTATATGGTGATCACAAACCTTTCACACTTTTAACTTTATTTGCTAATAACAGAGCAATAAAAAAAGAAAACTTTTATGTGAAATCACAAGAAAAACTCTTATGGTAATTTAAATCAATAGGTTATTTTTAACTAACAAACTTTGAGAACTTTATTGTATTGAGTCTGTACAATACCATTCTCAGTCAATTTTGACCACAATAAAAAATAAATATGGAAAAAACAGAAGCTTTTCTGTAAAAATATTAGTGTTAGAAAATAACTTTGTGAATAAAGTGGAGAGGGAAGGAGAAACTTTCTGAGGTGGCTGAAGATGTGGAATGTTTTGCACACTTAACCTGCCCAAGAGTGCCAAAACAATGAATATTTTGAATGCAATTAGGTGACTCAAGACTAAGATAAGCACATTCAACTCAAGCAGAATAGTTAAAACATTATCTTAATACTATTAAAGAAACACTGCATAGCTTACTGCTTTTCTTTTATAATTTTGTGTAACTTAACGAGTTAATTGTTGTGTGAACATTTTGGTATGTAAGAAGAAAATCTGGAACACATCTTTTTATTGATTTGAGTATCAAGAATAATAGTAGAATACCATCTAACTTGGTAAAAAAATTAATTATTGAGATGTAATACATAAAGGAAAGGTACCTGGTGTTGGATAGGTTTTTAATTGTCTTCTATCAATATGTGCTGGATCTGGGAGTCCAGATAGCCTTCTAGACTTACTTCGAACATCAGGTATATCATCATAATCTTCATCATCTGGATGTCTGCGTTTGGGTTCTTTGGCTGGCTATTAGTTTTAGAAAATCTCTTTACAAGTTGTAATTGTAAAATTAAAAATAATCATAAATTTACATATATATACATACATGAAGTATTAGAAAATGTGGTCCAAATGAATTAAATAAAAACATAAGAGTAAGAAGAAGTGAGGCCACTTAGCCTATTGAGAATGCCTATTCTCTACAAAACCAACTAACAAAATTATTAAACTAATTAACCCTATGTACACAGGTGGGAGTCAAATTGCACATGTCATGACCTTTTACAGGATGGAATTCAAAATGGTATTTTGTATATTTGATGTCAGAGTTATCAACTATTTATTTTACCCCACACTGCTGACTCATCAACAGTTCATAGTAGAGTAAATACCAGATACTGAAAAAACCATAGATAGATACACATTTCTGAGTTTCTAGAGGTTTTGCAAACTACTTGATGGATAAATGTAATTCATTCTTCACATCAAAATCACCTTGCATTATAACTTGTCACAGTCCAAGTCAGACTGATGTTGTTGATTCATAAACATATATTGAGTACATATACCTTTGTAACTCATCTGATTTTTTTGTGTGTACAACAGACTTATCATCTTACTAAAATCTTGACAATTTCGTGTAAATATATGTCATAAATTTGGAATTATAGTTCAATGTTCTTTCTCCAAGACAGGGTTGGTCCAATGGACCAAGCCAGTGCCTGTCCAACAGAATTTTAAGAATTTAAATTAATTGCATGTAACATATGAAAATCATTCCACAAATTTGAACCTAAAACTCAAAATTAATTTTTTCTTAAAGAATAAGTCTGTATTAGAACATAAAAAGTTTTAACCAGTTATACAAATATTAAACTTTTTACTTTGAATCCTTTCATTCCACCACTCAAAGTTGACATTCATAAGATTGACCATACTCCTAAAAAAATTTCGCTTAAAACCTTAATGAAGAGCAAATAGTCAGTATGGACTCTAACCCTTATCACAAGTATTTTCTTGGCAACATGAAAAATAATTTTGGTAATTAAGAAATGCTAATGTAATCCATATTTTTCAAATTTAAGAGCCTAGGAGGATCAATAAAAATACAGCCGTTAGTCTGACACCATGTTTTTAGCAAAATGTTGGAAACTACAGCAAAAGTAATTTATAAATGCTTTGGAAAAGTTTTTTGTTTTTGCTTTAACATGCTTTTACATTTTTAATGTAATTTCTTACAGTTGATGATGTGTACAGAACCATGACTTTTAGAAAGCCTTTGATAAGATGCCACAAGAAAAAGATTCATTAACTAAGTTTAATGTTTATGAGCTTGGTGGAATAGTTGAAAAGTGGATAGCAAATTGGTAAAAGGCCCGAAACAGTGAAAAAACTAGCACTTTACCAACTGGGAGAATATGAATATTGTAGCATCTAAGGAAACTGTTTTAGCACCTTTGTTGTTCATTATATATTAAAGTGGACAACCTCTAGGACAGTAATATTTGTAAACTGTTGATGATACTACATTGCTGGGAAAAGGTGTTATTGTTGAGAAAGCTTTTCTTTATTTTAAAAAACCTTGAGAGATTTTGTGAATAGTCCAGGAAGTGTAAAATGAATTGTACTGAGTTGTAAAGTTATGCATTTGGGGGTATGGAAACTTGGAAAGGACTTTCGTGTACTTTTTGAATGAAAGAAGCACTGAGAGAGAGAGAGAGAAAGATGGACTAAGGTATGATTGCCAAACACATAAATCTCTCCGATTAGTGTTTGTGGTGAAAATAATAAACAGAGTACCTGATTCCATTTATAGGAGTTTTGAACTTTAGAACAACAAGGTTATCATAACCTTGTACAAGACTATGGTGAGAATACAATGATGTGCTACTGAAATATTGAAAGTTTTATATTTTTTTTTTCTCTGAGGGATACAAGGAAAAGAAATCATTAACATATACACAATCATTAAATAGTTGGCCTGCTGTATAATATCAAATAATGAAATTGACAAAATGTCATAATATTATTCACATATTTAAATTAATTTAGGTCATTATAGGGTGAAGTAAAATGGACTTAAAACCCCTTTGAGTTCAAATATTATTTAAAGTGTGTATTAACAGGTTTAATAGAAATTCAGAAAATGCACAAGTTTTCCAAATAAAAAATGTTTTTGTTGTCATTGTGTGTACTCAAAAAATGCCAATGAAATAAAAGTTGAAATTTTTGTTACCTGGAAATGTATTTCCGATAGATACTCACCTCCTTTCACATCTGGCTCTTACAATTCAGGGCTGCCCTCTATGTGCAAACTTTTCTGATTGCCACTAACCTTAAGATTCCCACAAAATCTTATGTGTTTTCATGTAATATTGCTGTGTGGTTGTGTGCAAGTGAGTATGCAATAACCCTTCACTAATAGGAGTGCTCCTTCTATATTGATTGTTCAATAATCACTTTGAGATTAGGCAAGAAAGTTATAATTTTCCTATGCTGAAAATGTATTTCTGATAGATACTTACCTCCACTTACATAATAACTTTTCTTGTTCTGTGCTGCCCTCTATATGTGCAATGTTTGCTTGACACAAGCCTTGATACTCCCATCTACCCTCATGTGTTTACACAAAATACAGCTGAGCTGTAGCATGTGACAACCCTCCACCAACAATAGTGCGAAACACCCTCCCGGCACAGCTGGCTCCCTTTATACTGTAAAGCCCAACTTTCCCATCAAGATTAGGCAAAAAAAGAAGCACCAGAAGTGGAGAGAACAGGTGGAAAGTGTAAGAAGAGGTAAGTATGTATAACAAATACATTTTATGTATAGGAAAATTATAACTTCCGATATGATACCTTACCTCTTCCATATAATCACTAGTATTCCACTTTTAATTGGTTAAGGGACTGATGCAAATCTTACCTAGATGAGCACCCATCAGAAAGCCCATGGTGTGTGAAATCTCAATGGAGGATACACCACATATGTACTAGGTACACTATTCACTTATTGTGAAGATACATGTTGCTAAATCGGGCAGAAATAATGCCCATACAATGCATAATTGGACGTGCCAAATGATGTAGAGTGGTTAGGGTGCATCAGACTGTGGTCAGTGGGTGAACACCAGTTCAAAACCAGGTGGCATCAGGTATTTATTGTACAGTCCATGGCAGAAGGAGGATCCCTAATGTTTTCACCTCAAGATTAGGAAGCAGAAGGGAAAATGGCTCCAGTTCTGCCATCCTTGTAAGGGCATGTGTGCTGACCCAATACACAACCAACACCAGACCACCTAGAAACCCAACATCCAGACAATAGTAGGAAGGGGAATGCAACATGATGTGTCAACTAAAATGCAAAACCAGGCAGCATTGGGAATTTATCATCTAGTCTGCAGTACAATGAGGGCCCCTACCAACAACATGTGTGAGGACTTATTTTAGCTGGTCATGCACCAATTCAAAACTTGGCACTCGACATCCAAGAGGCAATAGCATGGGGGAAAGTGAGATGAAGGGGTGAACTGCATATGGTGGATTCATCCAGTCCAAAACCAAGTGGCATCGGGTACGTTTCCTCCGGTCCAGGGTAAGAGGAGAGTACTCACCATCTACACCAACAGCACACCACTGTCCTACTCTCAATTAAGTAGAATTGGTCACACTCAGGAGGAAGCCTCCATGGTGCACCACCCCAGTGACTAGGACTCCCGTACTCCACTCAAAAAATGTGCATAACAACATGGTGGGGAGTCTAGAAGAATGCAACACCAGAGAAAGTGAAATGAGTGACCACAAAACCCTATTTTCAAAATCCAGCCAGTCTCTATTTATTGGGCAGCTATCCTGACACTGCTTTACTTGTGATAGTCCATGAGTGGGTATGGTCTGGAACAAACCTTATTTATGAAGAAAACATTGCAAGGAAATCTCTAGCAGTCTTGTGGAACACCCCATCTCAACAGTTAGTATTATAGACTATAAAGGCTGTACAGTGTGGATGTATATGTAGCAATATACCCAGGCAGACACCACTTGCCACAGAGTGGGATCCAATGTGTAAATAAGCCACTGAAATGGAAATAAAGAAATAGAAAAATACCCACCCAGAGTTGAACTGAGGTATGTAAAATGGTCACATGCAGATAATGATGAAGGTGAATGGTGTGGTTCACATGCTAGCATGGATGATCTCTCCCAATGGACAATGGAAGTGGGCAGCCAGGAAGATGGTAAAGTAACAGATCTGGTGTGAAAATACCTGGAAAATATTATGGGAATCAGGAGACAAGGAAATATAAGCTAACCAAATAAGTTGGTGAATCCAATCCTTAAGGGTTACAAGGAAATGTTTCAGGTAGGGAAAGGGTTCATAGAGAGAAACAGACAGGAACAGGAACTAGGGAAGGAAGTCATTTAGGCAACATAAAACACGAGAGCATAAACAGGATACAGAAGATGATCGTCATCAGAACAGGAATACATATGGGAAATGGAAGGGAGTCTAGCCTGTCCTTCCCAAATCATCTAAATTTTGTTTTCTCATTATTTTCATAATATAGCACAAAAATTCAAAAGCCTTTATCCTACTGATCCTTTGTATTATCTTTCAAACTTCAATAAAATCATCTATTATCCTTCTTTTCTGAAGAGAAATTAAGTTAAGAGATCTTAACCTATCTCTTCAAGATAACCCATCCTCGAAATCATCCTAGTAGTTCTTTTCTGATTATCCTGAGTCCATTATTTTCCACAGTGTGGTCGTTTACTCAATCACATAATTAGAGTGGTCAATACAGAAGACATACAATTTTCTTCATCTTAGACATATATACTCCAATACAGGCCGAAGCATTTATCCTTTCAAACTCATCATTTCATTCAAGTTCAACTAGTTTGCCAACTAGCATGGTCATTGACTGAGTGTACATCACAGAATTAGCATAGTCACTTTATAATATAAATACTTTCTTTATCCTAATCTTACCTATACAAATATATGCATATAGAATGTATCACACTAAAGACATTTTAAACTATATATATGTTCTCTCTCTGCCTTTCCTGAAATTCTATGCAAACTTTTTGTAAGTTATCTTTCTACTTTTATAAGCTACTCACCCTCAGTTTGTTACCTGTGTAAGCTCCCCTTTTTGCCTGGCAATTGGCAGACTTATTTCAGTAAGATCACCTTATATGTTATAGTGAATTTAAACATGTGGAACTAGACTAGATGTATAAAAAGTCATATACACACAGGCTATGCTATTATTTTTTGGACATTAGCCAGATCTTGCTACATACTAAATAAGACAAAGTTTATATGCATTTCTGTAATTTACAGTATTAAATGTAACTAATTCATAACATATTTTAGTTATTTATGTTATTGGGCTTTTTACCTTAGAAAAGTCAGCAAATTGTTGGACAGAATTCAGAGGAGAGCTACTAGGATGGTACCTGGGATGAAATTTTGTCATACAAGGACATGTTAAGATCTCTCAAATTGTTTTCTCTTCAAAAAAAAAAGTTAGAAGAGGTTTGTTTAAGATTATTAATGGAATTGATGGTGTTGATGCATCATCTTTTTTGTACTTAATGGTGAGAATGTTAGGACTACAGAACACAAACATATATTTAGCAGGGTAGAAGTCAGCTTCAACTAAAACAGATTTACTTTTCTTACAGGGTGGTTGGCTCTTGGAATGGTTTGCCTTTGGATGTTGTGGAGGCAGTAAATTTAAGGCAGTTTAAGGGAAGGATTTATGAATATCTGAATGATAAAGGTTGGCTCTAAGTGTTTTATTTTTAGTTTAGAGTTTAGTGTATTACATGAGATGGCCTAGATGAGTCAACAGGTCTCTTCTTTAAGTTATATGTATGTATTAGATAGATAGATTTAATATACAACATTATGTTTCTTAAAGAATCATAACTTCATTGGCCACATGTGAAGGCATGGTACATGAAGCTTTACATTTGACAATTCTGATTTAGTGCTTGATAACTTCACAAAGCAGACTGAACCTCTACAGATGTTCTTGATATAAAGGCTGAAAACATCACTAACAATGAGGGTACCCAAATAATGACCAAAAGCAGAGTGATCAGAGATGCTTTTCTGTAGTTTGCCTCTTACTCATAATTAAGACTATTTATTAATTGTAATTGTTATTGTATATTTTTAGCAGCTTTACTTTGTAATAAATTTGTTATTATATATTTATTTCATTATCAACGTTTGTTTAGATTACTTTTATATTTAAGAATATGCATAGCTTATTGTGTTAAATATGTATTGCGAAACTCTCGCCTATTCTCCAAAATTGTAGAAGAATCTCGAGAGTAAGAATCAACAATATATGTAAATGCTTAAATGTAGCTCAGTACTGTTACATAAATCTGAATTTTCTAGAAAGCCTCCACAAGCCTATAAATATAGCCAATGCGACATACCAAAAAGAGTATCTATTATTAGTTTGCTATAAACTTTGGAAGCTATAACTGTGACTATTACAATGCTTATCAATTGGAAAATTTCAGATATTTGACCAGGAGCATTTACAAAGTTCAAACATTACAACTCATTTAACTTTGGTGGATTCTCATCAGACATTAGTATTTTATGAAAACATTACATAACATCACGGTGGAAAACTCGGCGAGTGTGGTTGATAAATACCGAAGGACAAAACTAGCTAGCTTCCTGTTAAGTGAATTATACCTACGTCAACTCGTAAACAACTCGCTCATTGTGAACCTTTGATAAGATATTGAAGAAGTTCCAGACTAGAAAGAAGACTTTATATTGCTTGAAAGTTTGTGAAACTTTTGTTTATAAATCATTGTTTGTAATAACTTTTATTGTAAGTTGTATTGTTGTGTGAATATTAAAACATATGTGTTAAAAAAAAAAACTGTATGTATCAATCTTGTTGGAAAACACCATAAACTGACTATATATCGGCATATATTTAAATACTGATTCCATATTAGAGACGCAATGTTGACTATAATTTCAAATTTACAAAGTGTATCTACACGAAATGTGGCAAGATTTTATTCAACAGTACAAGTCTGTTGTACAAAAAAAACCCAGATGTGATATTAAAACTTTTGTACTAAAAATGTGTCTGTGAAATGCCAAAGTCAGCCTGACTCAGACTCTTACAAGTTGAATTGCAAGGTGATGTTCATGTAAATACTAAAAATAATTTTATCCATCAGTTTGCAAATTGCATTCATATAACCTTTAAAATCTCCAACTTCATTGCTTGCATATCTAAATGTTTTCAGTATCCCTGTGTATTGTACCTGGTATTTTCTCCACTCTGACATGAATTGTTGCAAAATCAGCATGGAAGGGTAACATGAAAAATTTATAATAACCCTGACATGAAATTCACAATACCACATTGAAAGGTACTCTATACTGGGTTTATCCATGCATAGTTTGACCCCCATCTACACACATGGCATTAATAGTAATACTGAGTGATAGTGCATTATACATACTAATATTAATACTAATAGTATAATATTAATAATCAAAATAAATATTTGACATCAATCATACCTTCCTAGTTCCAAAACTAAAAATAAAATTTGTTATTCAAACATCATACTTCTACAATACTACTGGTTTCTATATGAAAATATATGCCTTGATTTTTATTTCCAGTAAGATGCCAAAGGTTCGATTGTAGCACCTTTGAATTTTGATAACGCCTTTCTCGTATTTAATTTAGTTAGTCGAATTTTACATCAATGATCAAATTCAAAAACGCTAAAAGTAAAAAAAAATTCGGATACTGTAGAACAAAAAAATATTTAATAAAATATATATATAATAACAATGTTTATGCTACAGAGAAAAACATTTCTATTTAGTACGTCCAAAATATACGTATCTAAGTTTACTTTGATACAAAAGATTTGAAATACAAAAACAAATATATTAGCTTACCTTAAAAGACAACAATTCGCCAACATCCATCTTAATTTTTAAAAAGCTAAGTAGGCTTAAGACACGAAATTAGGAGCTCTGTCAAAGCGCGTGCGCTTATTGCAAGTTGACCAATGATAATCATTTCACTGTTGTACAGTTTAGCGTGTTATATTTTAGGTTGTCGCTGTAGTATGACTAATGTTAGTGTCGTCAAGAAAGTGGAGATTTTGTACTGACGGTGGCATAAGTTTTCTTTATCTTGTGTAACGAAGTAGGTGGTTTAAGTATAGGGTTTTAAGGACTGTTTTATTTTTGGTGTCTTTTTTTCGAACTTTTAAGTCTTGTAAAGTTTTAGTAAAGTCGACATATGCAGTTGTAACTTGTAGTTAGCAAAGCTTTGCTAAGCCTAACGTGTAGGTGTAAACGTTACCGGTAGTTCTAAAACTAAGCATCACAAGTGACAAGTGATAGAAACAAATATTCCTAGTGGCTCTAGCATAACAATCTATATACAAGTATCTATCTATGTATATGTATATATAACGATTAAAAGTAGGTTGGATAAGGTTAGCAATACACTGAGACTGTGAGGAGCTCGTGAAGTTAATTATTTAACTTGTTACTGTTACTGTTAGTCCAGTTTCTATTATTCAACCTAAATCTTAATTGTTTACGTGTTAAAAATGAACTCCAAGCCCTGTGATATTGATGATACTAGGCTGTCAAGTCAAAGATGTTTAAAAACATCCAACGATGGAAGAGCATGCTGGCATAAATGGAAAGAATATAGAACCTACAAAAATAAAAGAACAAAAATACTGATTTTTTAACATCTCCTGTTTCAGTTATTTGGATTTTTTTTTCCAAACATGATGATGTTGCCTCTCAACTATTGCACTAGGCCAGTACTGACATTGTGACACGTATCTGCATGTGATTCTGGTACTGGTAGGAAAGCACTGTTCACACAACTTATGATTAGGTATAAGCATAAGCATTATCAGTGATACTTTTAATTACAAAAGCTGGGGGAAGCTGTTTTGGAAACTGTTTGAGAAAGTTGTATAAGAATACATTATCATCAAGCATAAGGTATGATTAATTAACATAGTGATTAAGCTTTCTTACAATGATAAATCTAGTATTTTCTTCCTGTACATGATAATATATGGTAAAAATCTTATTTTAATCTTTGTTAAATATATTTTATTCTATGTCTGCTTATAAAATCAAAAAATTAATTGTATAACAAGTGCATTCCTTTTTGTATGGAGATTATACTAAAAACCATTAGAATTACCTTATAATTGTATGATGTCCTATAACACACAAATGTCAGTATGAAATGTCGCTTCCTCAAGCTCTTAACTACCAGTGTCACTACAGTGTTATGTAATCATGGGTTTTTATTTTCAATTAAAATTGGATGTTGGACATCCAGTATCCTCTGTTATTATTCAGAAACTGGTTTGATTTTTTATTTACAAGTCAGGCCCAAAAATCATTGATTTCTAACCTTAGCCAAGTTTAGAGTGGAAACATTTCAAAATATACATGTATATTGATGCATTACTGTCTCTGTGTCATTCTTTGGCAAATTTCTCGTATGGTGAATATGTGTTAGTTAAACTACAGCTTTTTAAAATAAAATACTATGACTCAAATATTTTAATCAAAATATATTTGAGTATTTTAGAGATCAGGGTTAGATATAGCATATATGCCATTTGGAATATCTGATAGAAAATGGAGTAGCTTAAAATATTTTTTAACACCTTAGAATGGAAAAACATATACTTGGAATGTAGATGTGTGTTTGGTCAAATTATATGTTTAGTATTTTTTTTCACTGCCATGTTTTTTATATTAACAACTTTTCCAGTGCTATATTAATTTTTGGGTAATAAATACACACACACAAATAAAGCAAAAAAGACATTTTGATTTTCCATTACTTACCTGAAGCTAAATGTGAACATAAAAGAAGCTAACAAACTCGAAGTTCTTTGAGGTCACTCTCCATAACAAGCAACCAAAACAATATAACTAAATTAAGTGTAGCTTTTCATACCTACCTGTTCAACAAAAGTATCAGAAATCAAAGTATTTACTCACTGGACAAATTCTATAAATTTATAAGTAACCAAAAATAAGATAGCCAAAGACTAAATCTGCTTAAAGGTTTTAAAGTTTAAGCATATTACTATTAATATTCAAATTTGTACTTATTTTTCAGGAAGTTATCAATTCCCCTCTTAATCTCCCATAGAGTACTGACCTACACTGTTACCATCAAAAGGAGAAAACTTAACTGGAGCCTACCCTGTCTTTTTTGAAGTCTGAACTTTTTTTTTTATGGAAAGAGAGAATTACTTCTTTTGACTTATTGATATGTTTATAAACTTATCAGTTTCTATTATTTTTACTACTAGCAGAGAACTGTTTTAATGGCTTGAGTGATATATCCACCACTATGCAAAGATACTTCTTTAATCATGCTGTTGAGAGGGTTCCTGTATGTATTAAATGTGTAATGCAAATTACACTAACCAAATGTGTTACCTCACTTAATACAATTAATTTCATTTGCCAAATATTTATACAACTAACCAATTGATTAAAGTTATTTTGTAAGACTTCAACATTCTCAGTATAGCTGAAATACCCAAGAGTTTAATGTCATCAGCAAATTATACCCCTATCAGTATCATTAACTCTAAGTTTATGGGTGGGGGCCAAATTACACATCACAACATTTTACAGAATTTACATTCAAAATTTAATTAAACAATTGTATTATCACTCTAAGTCAATAAACTTTGCATCAAGATATAGTTTATAATTTAAATTTTCATTTTTTAAGTTCAAAAGGAAGTATTTGAATAAATTCTCAGACTTCGCTTTAATGTATCAAGTGTTCATTCCAAATTTCAACATTATTCTGATACAATACTCTACCTCTGCTTACATATTAGCTTTCCTTGATTTTGTGATGCCTTCTATATGTGCAACGTTTCATTTGCCACTAGCCTTGATGCTTCCACCTAACTCATATTTCCATGTAGTATTGCTGTGCTGTAGCGTGCAGCAACCCTCCACCAATAGGAATGTGACTCCCTCTATACAGATTGTACAATCAACACTTCTTGATTTGGCACTTATGCGTAACAACATGTCTTTTCTTCACTTGTGAACTTTTCAGTTATAGTGGAAGTATCTACCGAGACATTAGTTGTTGTGGAAGTATTTATTGTTGGATTTTTGCTTAACAATATTTTTTACACCTACAGCTTTTGTGGCCATTTATTTCCACATTATTATTTCATAAGTGTCAGTAACTTCCACTTTGTTTGGTGAGAGACATCTAGTCTTTGTGTATGCTAGTTTCACACCTACATTGGTGTCAGGTTTGCCTTTGTCTGTTGGGATAAGTGATGGCTTTTCTGCAGTGGATGGTAGAGTCTCTCATTTGTCCTGGGCCTTCTTTTGTACCTGACATACCTCTGCCTATGTTTTTCGTTCATGACAGAAGGGATCTTTCCCGTTTTTTCCCACCGCATACCTTTGCCTAATCTGATACCCACACTGTCTGTAATCTACCTAACCTTTTTCATAATTTTAGGACCAGGTTTAATGGATATGTTTCTTCCATTCTCTTTGTAATTCATTCTTTGCTTCTTCTTTTCATGTTTTTTTACATCCTATCCAGATATGCTAGTTCATAGTCAGTTCCTTTTATTAGTACTTTTGTGCACGCATGTCTCGTTCTCTTTCCTTTGTTACCTCATATGACTAAGCATAACTTTGTGCTGTATTTCCTTTCCTCGACTCATGAACTCTGGAGTCATTTCTTCTGACTTGGGGGTCAGATCATCTATCTTTTCTTCCTATTTTCTGAGATTTACATTTTCTCACCTTCATTTTACACTATCTACTATTTTCCATTATTTTACCTCCATTCACCTTCTTTCCATTGTAATCCACCATTGCTCTCAGGGATTTTTGGCAGATGCTGGTTAACTTATCTCCTCTACAGTGGCACATTTATCTTCCTCTGCCTTATCCCTTCATATTTGGTTGATCTTTTACTAGAGTGTGGTGGGGCATGATCCACTATTACTCAAGTGCTTTTGCCTCCCTTTTCTTTCATATACCTTCATCTGACTCCTTTCATCATCTTGTGTGATTTTACTGGAGTGCTGTATTGTTTTTCTTTGACTCTTAAACTCTGGAATTTTTTCCTCAGACTTGGGGGGTCAGATCCTCTGTCTTTTGTTTGTCTTTCTTAGGCTTAAATCTTCCTACCTTCATCTTCTACAGAGTACCCCTTTCTGTTATATTTCCTTTATTAACCTTCTTATTGTGGTAATCCACCATTCCTCTTTGGGGATTTTGGTGATGCCCATTCACTTACCTTTTCTACAGTGGCATCTTATCTTCCTTGGCATTTTCACTTTTTATTTGGTTTATCTTTTGATAGAGGTGGTTGAAGTATGATGTCCTTTTTATTCAGTTGCTTTTGTCTCCCTCATATCTAATATGCCTTTTTCTGGCCCCTTTCATCTGTTTGTATGATTTTACTGGTATGTTTGTTTCTCTGGTGTCATATGTTGGGGCTGCATTCCAATGTTATACCTTATCCTCACTGGTTTACCATCTCTCCCATGCTCCTTCTTTGTCTCTCTCTCTATCTCCTGTACTCCTGCTTACTCTTCTTTCTTTGTCACCATTTTCTGTTCCTCTTCTGATCCATCCTTCCACCACTTGTAGACTTCAACATTTTCAGTCTTTGAGCAACTGTCCTATAGGCTCAGGGTCAGTAGGGCCTGTTTCATTTGGTTTATGGACCTTTGCCCTCCATTTTCAGCCAATTGTTGAGTTCTGGGATTTGCACCTGACAGTCCTTAACCTTGTTTTTTTTTTTTTTTTTTTTTTAATTTCCTACTCTGTTGTCTCCTGTTCCCTTTATTTTGCATCCTCCAAGAGAACTAGTTTCTTGCCAACATTTATCAATGGCAATGTCGGATGGGTTTCTCCTCCCTCTCCAGGATTTTATTCCCATATTTTCATGGTTCCCTACAAATCCTCAGATAGGCATCTGGCCTTAGTCATTTCATGTCTCAGTCAGTTTCTCAACCTCCTTTGATTTA